TGTCTATTCTCATCCAGAGACGACGATCAAAACCTAAATCAGCGTCTGCTAAGTCGCCAAAGGATCGCGGCAGGCCCGACAAAAGACAGTTGCACTACCAGCGCCTGCACGCCAAACCGATCAACCGATGCAAGCATCATCTGACCGTCTTTGTCCCTGGTTCGTAAAAAAAAAAAAAACTGCAATATCCTGGATGTATTCTAAACGGCACACCCCACAGAAACGATCTTGTGTGCCCACAAGCCGAAGGACGTTCTAGCCCCACCTACACATGAAAGTGCCCACGTTTGAATTCTTTGAATCTTCACCATACGTTTTCCTCCCCCGCCAGTGTGATGACGTACGTGTCTCTGTCGAAGAATGAACGGGCCAATTGAAAAAAAAAAAAGCGCCACCACTAAACACAATGAAACCCCTGCAAAGAGTCGTGCCCAAAGAACAGAAAAGAACTCGGTCGCTGCAAAACAAAAAAACACAGCAGTTGAAGTTATAACTGCAACCCAACCAAGATAGATTCGCAAGAACCGACAACTGCTTGAAACAGCCATACCCACCCACCATGTTTGCCGCGACCGCGACGACCGATACACACAACGAGCCGTGCCTCCCACAACAGTCTCAAATGAAAACATGAACAAAGATTCTTCCTCGAGTCCCGTTTGCCGGACTACTTCTCGAACAAGCGGCCTTGAGGCCTTCATCAGTGAGAGCTGCTGCTGCATCAAGGGACGCTTCTTCCGCCAAATGGTCATACACCAGCAAGCCCCAAGCCAAATAACCACCAGGGAAGCCGATAAACCACTGGTACCTTGGAAGCCGTCCTAGCCCCGTGGGTCAGCCCGTGGGTCAGCCAACAGGTGAAAGAAGGCGAGAAATTCATAATCTTGCCTGTTGGCGGCCTCCAACCCAAGAACGGACCACGCCGTTTTCTCGGCCGCATCCAGAGAAGGCCGACCGCGGAGCAGTACGCACCCCAAAAACGTCGAAACCATTGGCCCGTCGCTCGTAAACGGGGAACACTCCGTGCGCCCGGAACCAATCATGTTGCTCGGCTTCCACTCCCACAAACTCAAAAGAGCGTCGCAGACGGCAGTAGTTCCACACAAAACACACCCGTCAGATCACGAAACGCTCGGGATAGCTCAGTACAAGATCACCCCGCTCTTCGCCGCTTTGGACGGTGGCCACCTCGTGATGCTCGCGATCACGGCCGGAAACACGACGCAGCAGGGCCTTGGGCTGGAGTTGTTGTTGTTAGCCACATCGCTGCCGCTTTCGACGCTGTCATCGTCGGTCTCGAACCCCGGCTCCAGGGTGTCCGAGTCTATCTGCAGGCCCGGCCCCCTCTCTCTCGGGGAAGCGTCCGCGGAAAAGCTAGCCAGCGGGCGGTGTTTCTCCGGGTCGAACGGTTCCTCTTTGCCCGCCGCCTCGTCGAACTCGATCTGAGGCTCCTGGAGGGCACACTGAGATTGGGTTTGATGGGCAGTCCGAGGGAGGGGGGTGTACTCATAGTCGTGCATGCCGTAGTCGTTACACCGTTGACCTCGCCTCTCGCATCCCTACAAAGCCGGGAAGGAGCACGCCGGGTTCTCACGGGACCAGGCTCTAACATCACCCAGCGCGAAAGTCCGTGAGGTATTCGGCGAGTCGCATGAAGGGTGCGCTGCATCCTGCTAAGGGTGTTCGGCATCTTGGGCTTACTTCCTTGCGTATGATGACACTTCCATTGCTACAAAACAGCAGTAAGCGGGATGGCTGGCGCTCATTGCAATTTTCTTCTTCCTCCGGCGGAATATCTCAGCTTGCGAGTACACCATCCGCCCTGATTTCACCTCTCACAAGTGTAATACACTCTTGTCGACATCAATACGCGCTTAACGGCCTTGTCCGCGGGTGGGCTGGAAAAGCAAAACATTAGCTCGCTACTGCTGTACGTACGGTCGTGTCGCGCCGTATCCACTCCACCCGACCCTAAACCCACCCCACATCCACCATCCAGCCAAACTCACCTCAACGAACAGCGCGAGGTAGGACCTAACGACCGGCTCGAAAGTCGGCCACGTCTGGTGCACCAGCATCCGCCCGACCTCCTTCTTCGCCTCGGTCTTGAGCGCGCGGGACAGCACGCGCGCCGACAGGGTCACCAGGTCCTTCCTCCCCAGCCCGGCGATCGTCCGGTGCCGCCGCCTCAGCTCGCCGTAGAGGAGCTCGTGAGTGTCCTGGGCCATCACGCCCCCCGGCGTCGCCCCCGCCGCTCCCGCCGCCGCCGTCGCTGCTAGAGAGGCCTTGGGCCCGCCCGTCCCGGGCCCCGAGACAACACTACCAAGCTGTACGAACTCGGCCCCTCCCACGAAGGCCCGGAGGCCGTCGACCCTTACCCGCAGCCTCTTCCTCACTTCCACACGGCAGCAGTGGAACAGGTGCACGAGGATGCTGGTCACGACGGACAGCAGCATCTTCTGTTTCTGCTCCCGGCTCTGCTGCGGCTGCCCGAGCTGATGATGGCACCGTTCACGAGGCGGACAAACAGAGGGTGAGCAACGCTTCGGAGAACACAGCAGGCAACGCACGTCGAAATCTCGGTGGGGTGCTAGGGTACATGGTACCAAACACGGACTCCCTCGCGCTATTCTCGTGCCATTTTTTCTATCCTCGTGCTTGGTGCCATGGCTTTGTGACCGCCGAAACTCGATTCTCACGGGTAGGATGTGCTCCCTCTCTTTGTCTTTGCCCCATACTGTATGTACCACATGGTACGGAAGGACGATGCAAGTGGGTTCGAGGCCACAACTGGTGTAAAAAAACCCAACAAGAACGTGTGCCAACACATGCGTACAGTACCCCGTTTTTGCCACATGGTACAACCGGAGAGCAAGAGGAAACACAGCAGCAGGCATGCCCTGCACAACTGTGATTTTCACACGAAAAGCACGGCAGTTGAATGCACTACTTAAGCCGCGTCACGACTAGACTTACCACGCAAAATACAACACAATCAACACAAAAACAGAGACCCTCCCGCAAAAAGACGCCATTCAATACAAAACCCACCCCACAAGTCAACATCCCTCCACTCACCGAACTGTAGAGCTGCTCCGCTTTGGTCTCACCGCTGCCATCCCCCCCGCCTGCCCTCGAAATCGCACTCCGCGCCCACTTCGCCCCGTTCGAAGAAGCCTCCAGAGCGTGCGCCTCCACGGCCCGCGCGCTCGGAAACTTGTGGAGGGCAGAGTACGAGAGCCGGGGGGCCCTGGGAGTCCCAACGTGCATGTTGGAGAGGCTCGCGTAGGAGCGAGAGGGCGTCGTGTGCCCCCCGCCCGCCCCGCCCCTGCTCCTGCCGGGCGTGGTGAACCCGCCGCCGCCGCCGCCGCCGGGGGGCATTGATTTCGGCGAAGTCACCTCCTGGCCGTGCTGATCCAGGTCGCGAGCAAACGCATGCTTGTTGAACGACGCGTAGGAAGACGACCGGGACTTGGGAGTGCTCTCCCCCCCCCCCCCCCCTCCCACGGAGGAGGGCGTGCACATGCCGGAGCGGCGGGAGGACACGCTCCCGCCGCCGACGCTGAGGGCTGTCTCGGCCGCCACGCGGCGGGAGCGCTCGGTATCCAGCAGCGAACGCAGGCGTTGGATGTCGTCCTGCCCCACTGTGGATGCCGGGGAAAGCGGTTCCCTGGACAGGTTGAGGGGGGGGGGGGGGGCTGTCAAACTGGATTGGTAAGATGCTCTTTCTTACCCGCCTGCTGTCAACCCCGATAGCACGCACAAGTCCGCAATTTGTGGACCAACCAGCAGAGAAAACTCTCGAACGTGATGTGTTGCGTGCGTAGCAAGTTATATCCGTTTTCAACAGCAATTCATATCAAGTTTTCGCAGCTCGGGCCTTGCAATGAATTGGGTTCTACATCACGCGTCATACCCTGAGCGCGTACGTTCCCTAGAGAAAAATGCTCTACCCTTGTGTCCGCGGTGGTGGCAAACCTCCAGCACGCCCACACCTCTTCTGTAGACAATTTGGTCCTTCTGAAACGCTACAAGAACATCAGCCCTGGCATCAACACAACAAGCGCCAGTTGATACAAGTCGAGCACTGCTGTCTGCACAGAAAAGGAGTTGACGAATCATAGGGACGATCGGAATAATCACGCATGCATTGTTCGGCACAGGACAGGGAGAGCTGTACAAAACAATCTTCATGAACCTCCCTCTCCTAAATACTTTGGCTGGAAATTGCACCGGGATGGAGAGCGTACCTCCTGGCTAGAGTCCACTGCTTGCTGTCACGTGTGCGTCACATGTGTAGTGCTCACGCCTCCACGTGATCCACACTACAGCCAGTGCAAGAATAGCAACACCTGAAACTGAACCAATATCTAGTACAAAAGTACCGGCCACCGCACAAGAACCTTGGCCGACCAGATTTACAGGGTGCACTGTTCGTTAATACTCAAGAATTTACAAGGATCCCCTTCGGGAGTTAGGTGGCTTGCCTCCCGGGGGCTCCGCAAGAGGACATGGCCAATGTCATCGCGGTCGCATCATAGTTGCATCTCAACGTCATGACGTTCGGTAGTGCCGGTTTTGCGTACAACCTGTAGAATTTACCTGGAATTTCCATGACGTATATACGTGGCATTTTTTCCTCACGGTGACTTTTCGGGTGTGCTTGCGTGTGTGCTTTTTAGGCTAGCGGCGTCTTTGCTGCAGGTCCTACTGCTGTAATCCGCTGCGTTTGATCACTCACTCTTTATCTATACGTGTTGCCCATGGTCTGTTGGACTCGCATGCGTTGTGTAGGAATCAATAGTCTTCCTGCTCATGCAAAGCAGTTTTCTTGTGTTTCTTGCGAAGGCTTTCTTCGCGCGGAACACGTCCCCGGGGTATAGAGCCAGCCTTATAGGACTTTGGGCGTCAAGTCAAGCCCATGAACCCCTAAAACCCAAGCACACGCAGCTGTTGATAATCCACAGAGAAAACAAGGACCCGAGGGTTGCGCGCGCAAAATACTAAACACTATGTAGTAGGTACAACATCCTCAAGTGGTGGCCAGCCGGTCGGTACCCTGTACCATCATTTACCGTAGAACAAACAGAAAATACCGACACTCACCGGACCAGTACGTGCTGCTGCTGCATGTCGTTGAGGCTCCCGACACTCCTGAGACTCCTGAGGCTCACGCCCGAGTTCGACCGGCGGTACTGGTGCTGCTGCTGCTGCTTCGCCGAGGCAGCACGGGTGGCGTGATTCCGCCCGCCGCCGCCGCCGCCACCGCGGCCTTCCTCCACGACGGCCAGCTCGAGCTGCGGCCTCTGTCCGCCGCCGCCGCCGCCGCCGCCGCCGTTGCAGCTCTCCGTGTTGGTGGTCCTCTGGTCCTCCCCCCCGCCGTCGCCGCCGCCGCTTTTCCTGCCGGCGGTGGCGGCGTAGCCCTCCTCGGCCGTGAGCAGCAGCCGCTCGTTCGGCGCCGCCACAGCCGCCTGGTAGGGCGGGGCCGAGTCGCCCCCCCCGGCCTCCGCCGCCGCTGCCGACGAGGACGGCGCCGATCTCGTCGTGTTCCCGTCACCACTGCCGCCGCCACCGTCGACGCCGCCGCCGCCGCCGCCGCCGGAGGGGGGGCTCTCCTTAGTGTGGCCGCCGCCGAAGCAGTCGCGGCCGGAGGCGCGCTTCCAGGCGACCGCGGCCACGAGGAGCGCCGCGAGGCAGAGGGCCAGGGCCGCCGCGAGGCCCGCCGCGATGTGCCGGAGGCCCTGCGCGCCCGAGTCGTCTGAAACGTTTTTTTTTTCGAAAGATAACAAGCAGAAAGGTGAGAACGACGGTGGTATTTTAGATTCACAGGACGTGACCCGGGCGAAGGAACGCGCGCAAGAAGCGAAGAGGAAGACTAGATGTCACTCTCCTCAGCGTTTGCGTGCAGTGCTCATAGTCACGATGCGCGCTTGGTACAAAGTTGGATATTACTCATACAACAACGCGATTGTCTTGCCTTCCCTACCCGGGAGGTGGATGCCTGATGCTAGAGATGCTATGCATGGATACCCGGTAAAGTACCTGGGTAACCGGGTACCCGGAACTGGCAGTACCCGTTCGGTTCCGTGACGAGCCCAATACCCGCCAGGTATTTGCCTTCGATACACGGCGTCTCAAACCTTGGAGTACACCCTGACATACATACCCTGCGCCCCCATTGGGTGGTACGGGGCCCCCACAAGTGGAGGGTACGCGGTGTTTTCCATTCACTGCGACCCCTTCCAGGTACCCGATCCGGTTCCACCTCTAACGGGCACCCGGTTCCACCTTTTCTTGCCTGGTAGCACCTCTACCTTTGTGGTTTGTAAAACACAAGACATTCCATACAACCAAGTCTTGCGATTCTCACTCGGGTATCCCGATGCAATTCAACCAGGGAATTGGTATACCGTACCACACCCTTGGTTTACCGCCTACTTGGGCCTGGAAACCCCGCACATCTGGATGGCCGCCACAGACAGATGGCGAGAATGGAGCAAGAGGAGGGTCTGGGTAAAAATCCAAATTTGCCGGAGGTTGGAGTGATCCTTGCCTTTTGGCTGAAGAGATTGCACAGATCTCGTGTGTGCGAGCTTTTATTGCTCGGTCACCCCATCATTTACAATCAGGTACAGGTGGAGCGTCAAGAGACACAACTGGTGCATGCATAGACTGATGTCCCGCGCTGGAAAGAACTTTAGGCTGTCCCAGAGGAGCCAGGGTAGAAATGAACCCCCGGGCGCGCGAAGCCTGTACGTAACGTCCACGCCCCGTTCCAACTGTGGCGGCCTACTGCTGTAGTGAGCACACAGGGTGTTGGGGTTGACAGGCACGGAGGTTTCACGGTAGACATCACCCTCCTCGCCTTGAAAAAGCCTGGTGTGCACCGAGTGCCTGCTGCGTCAGCAGCCCTGCTTTCGTTCCTATCTTGTTCCTATGCGTATGTGGAGTCGGCCTAAATTTTCTGGTAACCAGTCTACAGCGAGTGAGCCCTTGCTTCATCAGGAAAAGTCAAAATTATTTGTTCTTCCCTTTGAATCAAGATGCTGCAAGTTAGTGGTTGGACTTCTGTGTTGCTCGGGAGGAAGAGTCGTTGCTCGTCGCCCAGACAAATCTCCAACTTGCGACTGAAAACCGATTCCAAGGGCACTGAGACGTTGTGGTTGAACGGATTTGTTAAAAGCGGTGACCGAACTGCTGTCCATTTGTCCTTTTCGAACCAGTTGTGAACATTTCGTAATTGCCCACGTACTCTGGACAAACAAGGAAGGCTAGTCTAATATGCTCGTGTACAAATGTTAGACTACAGCGATCATGAAGGGCATTGGTGGCTTGTGGCATGGATTTTGTGTGACGCACAGATGGCAAGATGAAAATGTGCACGGACAGTGTTTGTTGGTGGTCTGGACACAAACCGAGCAAAACAGACACCACACGTAACATCATGAAACGCTCCCACACAGCAGCAGTGATTGCTTCAAGGATGTATGCATACACAGACTGACTAAAAATAGAGACCCCGAAAGTCTAAACAAAATATGCTATGATTTTCCAAGTTTTTATTTCGTGGGCGATCTATATACTGCTGTCCCGTTCCAACGGCTGCCCTGCTGCTGAGAGAACCACAACAAGAGTTGCGCTTCAACGTGGTTTACCCAGCCAACGAGATAAACTCCTCTGCAACCCCTCTTTCCAATGCCAGAGAATTGGCTCTGCCTGGCTTTCACGGTACATGTACATCGAGGTTTTGTCGACAGCATTTGGGCTTCATCGTGCTTCGGAGCGGCGCCGAAGAGTCAGCACTAAAAGGAAACATGCATGAGACGCTCTCCCGAGCAGCTCACCTTGGTAGCAGCAGATGTCGTCCGTCCTGCATTCCTCCAAAGACATAGCTGCCCGTGGGTTTCCTCCTCGCTACCCGCCCAGCACGCGGCGTTGTGCGCCCTCGTCCCTCCTCCCGATGTTTGTTCCAATCTGCTGCCCTCCTGTCCGCGCTCTGCACGCAGGCACGCAAGCACAAACTTTTACAGTACTTTTGGAGATGTAGCAACACCTGTGGTGCCAAAAAAAGCGCAGCAGGCTTTGACAAGAATAAGACCGATGGACGACCTTCTTCCCCGAGCCTTCGCCTCACAGAGTAGGCGTCCGCAGCAGTAGCACAGCAGCAATGGACAGCGGTTTGTTCAAGTGCGAAACAAGCTGGCCGAAAGGAGATGATGCCCCGCCCCTTGAGAGACAGAGCGCCGCGGGTCCCACGACGCGCTCGCGGATCTTCCAAGTTTCAGGGTCTTGTCTCGCCTCTCAGCTCCCTCAAGCACACGCACGCCTCGCACACTCGAGCTCGGTCTACCCAGCGAGATCAAAAGAGGGGCAGTGCCGATGCGGGAGGCCTTGTTTGACGCTGTGCCAGACTAGAGAGGAAAACGAGTGGGTACAGCGGTAGTGCAACAACAGCAGCAACGAGAGAGGTGTTGTGAACGGGACAAGCGGGCAGACCTCCTCTGCCCATACCCCGCCTCATGGAACGCCAACCACTCTTTTTTTCAGTCTCTTTTTTCCCGTTTTTCGCTCGACAACAAAGAAGAAAACTCCCGATGACACATTCGGCGGCGGCATGTCATTTGTCAGGGGATAGACCTACCGACCATCACGGGACAAAAAGGCGTCCGGCGTCAGTGGACCAGTGCAGGTCTTAGAGTACTGAGCACCGGAACGGTTATCACACGTGAAGATTAGTGAAGATGGCAACATCAACACCGGCCCCAACACCCACCAACAACCTACCAATTTTTGTGGTTCGATTTTCTTCCTCCGCTAAAACTGGCTCTCCCGTGGAGACGGTTATGGGCGACCAGGCGGGGTCCCAACATCGGATATCCTGCCGCATGATGCGCGTGACACACGCGCGGAAGAAAGGCACACCCTTTTCATACACCACCACCAGTGAAGTTCCGGGAGGAGAAGCCCTTCCTTGTGTTGGTCCCGGAGAGGGATGGGGAGGATGTGGGTTCATGTAACGGTGGAGACGGGATGAGACAAGTTACACTGGCAGCAGCATTCCAGCAGTATACTCTGCGGTGGATTCTGTTGTGGTGTTTCTTTCAAAGTTGTAGCAACCTCCGGAGAGCAGAGTACATGTACGTCTGCTGGTTTCTGGTGGTCGCAAGCCGTACCAGAAAGGGGGGGTGCCTCACCTGCGCCGTCGAGGTGTGAATATTGCAGCACCAGACACGTGCGAGAGCGATGCAAAGAGCGTTGACGACGATACACGTACTCACAGACAAATACATTGATCGAGAACTGCTGTATGTAGACGAATCATGAGTAGATTGATACAGTACAGTGCGGAATACGAGGTCTATGTACCGACCTACTGTACAACAGCAGTCTCGTATTCTCGTTTATTACGCGGCAACACACATACCACAACCGCAGCAACAGCAGCAGCACCGAGGTAGCACGACAAACCGATCGCATGGGCTCCATGTTCTGTCCCTGGGTTTCTGTCAGGCCGCGGGCCGCGAAGCCGTTTTGTTACCGGTCGGTTTTCCTCGTTTGGATCTTCGCCAGCGTTTGCAGCCAGCTACAGCAGCAGTGGGAAACGCAGCATCCACCCCATCGAAAGGGATACGAATCACAACCACCCCACAATCTCGCTGAACGTGAACCGAACACACTGATCTGCAGGCCGTGCAACGGCACTCTGCAGACCTAGATAGACTATAGACTATTGTAGTCTACTGTAGTTGTCAATTGCCGATTTTGCGGGTGGATCATTAGACACCGCCGTGGTGTTCCTTCATTCCATACCAAACAAATGTGGTGAGACTTTTACCACCGGTACCTCACCTCGCATACTGTTGTGGTCCATACATGGTCTCTACATCCCCCCATGCTGCCCTGTGGGTGGGTAACACAGGCTCACCAACACGCTCGTTTGGTCGCTTATACCCCCCGCAACATGCGCAACACACCTGCTTGTATGTCCTCACACCCTGTGTTTCTGCTCGCCCCGCGGCGTTACTAAGTTAAATAGCAATAGAAAAAATGACGCCCCGGGGCGTTCGCTCCGTTTTTTTCATGTTATCGTGTGTGTTTTACACTGTGAGCCCCGGGGCGTTCTCCGTCAATGTGGCGTTTACCGCGTTCTTCACTGTTTTCGCTGAGAAGCTACGTAGACAGGCTGTTGATGTGCAACTCCTCGATGAGTTTTGTCTGCGTTGTCTGTCTGAAGCTTCCCTTGTTTTTTTACGGGAAGCCGCAACTGCTTCCTACGGTAACACTCTCGAGCACGAGACACAGCAATAACAAAGTAACTGAAGAATGAAGACGTCCAGACCGCAATGAAGACCTTGAAACTACGGTGCCGACGATGACAAGGCCAAAGAATTTGATCCGAAGAAAACCTACGATGAAAGGATACGTACAAAAGAAAAGTACACGCGAAAGAAATCGCATGAAAACACGTCTCAAGCAGTTCTCCCCGATGGGCCTACAGGGCCTGAAGTATGTTGGTTGTTTGGCGACAGACTTCCACCGGGTGGGCTGCAGCGGCACCGGCCGCGAAAGGGGTGACCCCCGGCAGCAGAGTCTGTGCCGGGGTGGCAGCGGTGGCGGCGGGGGAGACGGCTGGGGCGCACGCACTCGCGGAGGGAGCGGCAGCATCGGTAGCAGCACCAGCGGCGAGAGGGGGGACCACCGGCAGTTATGGGACCACCGGCGGTCATGTGTTCCCCTTGACGCGGCCGGGGGGACGGCTGGGGTGCAGGCACTCGGGGCTCGAGCTGTACCATCGGTAGCAGCACCGGCGGCGAGAGTTGTGACCCCCGGCGGCAGAGTTGTCCCCGCGGCGGCGACGGCGGCGGGGCAGACGGCCCGGGCGCATACACTCGCGGGGGGAGCGGCAGCATCGGCAGCAGCACCGACGGCAAGAGGGGGGACCGCCAGCAGCCATGTTTTCCCAGTAACTTCCAGTACCTCGTTGACCGTCGGAATGATGAGGCTAAAAGATGTCATTGGTACCTGCTGATTCGACTCCAAAGTCAGCTTTTGATGTGTGGGAGGGAGAGGTGCGTTGACTACTGTATCTCGAGCGCTCGAAAACACGAAAAACTGTGTGCTGCAGAACCCGACAGTGAACCTCCTCCATGTTGGGGTCTGTTGTAAATGTTTCTGGTCGTTTGTAGATAGCCTTGCGAGAACGTACCACACAGCATGCGGCCTCTAATTGTACAATTTAACTGCGTCAGTCGCGTATGTATGTGCCCTGTATTGCTAGCGATGTGACTATTATACTGGTATCAATACCATACACGTAGCCAGGGCCGACGTCATGCTACAATGTCACTATTTAATATACGTCTACTAGTGTACTACCATACGAAGTATACGTCTAGTTGTACCAGTCCACATTTGGGGACGTCGAACACACAAGAGAGTCTACACCCTTCACGTTCTGTCCGCACGGACACGTAAATATTTCTGACACACGTAAATCTACAACCAAATCTCACTAAAACTCTCTGCAAGAGCTGAGGCTCAGCACCGCTTGGTGTTCTGGGTGGTGACACTGATCTACTACGGCACCTCGGGGTGCGTGACGTTCGGGAGAGGGTATTAGAAGGAGCCCGTTTCATGGCTCAAGGAACTAAACTCTGGCCCTGGATACAAGCCAACGTTTCTCCCAATCTTCGAACGGCGTCAGTGTGGGCAATCGTGCACACAGGACTGACGGGTGGACACGAAACAAGCACGAGCAGACGAATGTAAAAAAATTGGAGAGCCACGACCCAACCGAAAAATCCATATGCTGCTTGATCCATCCTCAAAATAAAAGGTCCATCAAGTTCCGCTCGATAGATCAGATGAAATTGGCGCGGGAACAACAAGATCTATTGTCCTCTCCCCCCCCCCGCCCGCACGTTCTCCCCTGCCTGCCCGCGAAGGTCAGGCGTTGCGACTGAAACACGTCCAGCTACAACTATTGCTTCTTCAAACTGGGGATTCCTGAAGAGCTTCCTCTCTTCGTCCTTAAGCTCCTTCTTCGCTTCTCTGGCTCATCTCCCAGTAATTGCCGGACCTGCACCCACCGCCGCAAACAAAGTTTTGCACAGTTGGGCCGGGGGGGCTTCTGCGACCAGCTATTCTTCAGCGCCTTTTGGTTGGCTGACACGACGGATGTCCATTCAAACAAATCGTTGTCTCCTGTCCCGAAGAAAGATGTTGGTATGTAGAGCAACTTCATTTGTATGCTCGTTGAAGGTTTCCTCCTGGACACTTTTTAGATGAAATTAGGTTAGGGTTGTCTAGCTTGTACTTCGACTTGTGGTGTTTTGTCGGTTTTCATTGCGTTATCCCTCCCGTAGTCGTCGTTCTAGTTGATCGCTCTCATGCCAAGGCTGGGTTTGAGGCTCACCATACTAAACAACCTGAAAATATTCTAGGAGGCAATCTACTCTGTTGGGTGTACTCAGCACTAGATACGGATCTACGGAGATCTAGGGTCGTGTATCATGTTGGTGTGTGTTACTGGAAGGGCGTACCCCCTTCTGGTGTGCAGGGTTGCTTGCCCTGCTGTTCACTCGTTAATAACAAGGTCTTGAGTCAACCTTCTGCCCACAGCCTCTGACGATAAGCACCCGCTACCCCAACACGATAGCAGGGCGGTGTATGGGGCTCTCAACAGCCGCAGCAACCACAGCGGCAGATTGTCCCCGTCTTGTACTTGTATGCTACGTCTACCAGTTTCCCGTCGGCACCCCCAGACGTATCGAGATTCAGGGGTAGCATGGGCACCTTCCACGCTTCCCCATCGGGCGAGATGGTGTTCAACAGACGTTCGCCGCGGCCGGAGGAACGGGAGCTTGAGGTCAACCATGGACAGAGGCTTCGGGTGTCGTTCGTTGGTGACTTGACGGTAGAGTTCCATTGCATGCAGAACGTTATTGTCACTTTGAAGGACGTTGCTGTCGTTCCGGGGCTGGCATGTGCCCTCATTTCCTTGACCACGATGTAGGGCAGAAAAGAGGTCATTCTGAACAGCAAGGGTGTGTCACTAATGGGGGGAAGCATCCAGGTTGAGAAGTGCAGCAACGGCAACTCCATCCAGGGTACTCGTGTTCCGCCTGCTGACTTCCCATCTCGTGTGGTAGCCGCTGTGCCATCTTTATCGGCGGCGGAGGCACGAGCAGCGATGGTGACGGCACCAGCGCCGACGGTGGCGGCGGAGCGGCGCTCCCCAGCAGTGCCGCTCACACCGTCGTGCGCACAGCAGTCCCAGCAGCCGGAAGTGATGGCGATGTCGCCTTCTAGGAGCGGGCCACTGCTGGATATCCGGCGGGAGGAAGAGGCAGAAAAGACAGATGAGGATTTGGTCTTGGAAGACGGATCTGATGCCTTGGGGGATCGGAGATTTTGCGTAACTTGTGTGAGGAGGTGGAAACCATGGGTTCAAGCAGCACCGACAGCGCCAACGACACCGAGGGCAGTTGTAATGGAGCAGCAGCGGTCTGCGGGATCGGCGGCGACGGCAACGATGGTATTCTGTGTGCGGAGGAGCTGGACTGTGGTGGCCGTGGGGCGTCCACGCACCCTTTCGATCCCGGCATCGTGTTAGTGGGGGTTCGAGACGCCGGGACTGTGCTCGAAGACGGCAATGACGGCAGCCGCAACGACAGTAGCAGCGGCAGTGATGGTGGAGGATACGCCGACGAGGTCGGCGACTGGAAGAGCAGCAGCAGCAGCAGCAGCAGCGACGAAGAGCTGGATGTGGCCTGGTTTGGGGCACTGCTGCGCCCGTTCGACCCGGGCAAACGGCGTCTGCTGAGGTCGAGCAGACGGGGGACGGCGCTCGGCGTGGACATCCCTTTTGACCGTGGCAAGATGTTGGGGTGGCGACGGCCGGGGTGCATGCGTTTGTGGCCAAGCAGCGGAGGAGGATTTGATGGCGTCGGAAGCGGGGCGCCGAGACGTGTTGGCGGAAGTTTGGAGACCTGAAGCGAGACGAACAGCAAGCAGTTTAACGGGCTTGCTGCGGCGGGCTATTTCAGGTTTTGGTTTTGATTTTGTGCGCTTTCTGTTTGCAATATCTCATTTTGGTTGTCATTCCATACGCATGCGTTGCACGTGTTCCGTTCTGTTCGATTGGTAGTGTTTTGCTGTTGAATGTCTCGTTTTCAGTGTGTTTTGTTGCGGAGGGTTGATCATCTTTTGTTGCAGATAAGCGTACGGTCGTGATGGGTAGGCAGAGACATTGCAAACCTTTATCGCCCATCACTGTTGTTCGCTGTACATGGAAGCTGGAAGTTTGTGGTGTTGACGTTACAGCAAGCAGTTTTATACAGAACCTAACATTGGTCACATGCGTTTGTTTCGATCAGCTATTCGACCGCGACCAGCCATCTGATGAAATATTGCAATGACCGTATTCATTGTCAATTTTGGTGTACGCTGGTAGACAATATGCTGGATTTTTTTGTTTTGAGTGCCCATTCGGGGGGCGAAGAATTTTCATACCCGTTGTATTTGTTGGCACTTGTTGCTTGTGGAGTACCGTGTGCAAGCGTCGACCCCAACCGACCCTCCCTCCATTGCCTACCCAACCAATGTTTCCCTGTTAAGCGCCGCCATTCCACTTGTGTTTTCGGCTGGGAGGGCCCTATCCATTTTTCTTTGCTTATTTTGTGGTTTTGGCGGTCAAAACAACGCCGTTTTGTAATGTTTTCGGCGCGGGGGGGACGCTTACTTGTTTTTGTTTCTTTTTCTGTGTTTTCGGTGGCCGAGGTGCACCGTTCTTGACCTTTTTTCGGCGGGGGGGCCGCTGTACTTGTTTGTGTCTTTGTCTTTGTTATTTCTGACGGCTCCAGCGACGCCATTCCTGTGCTTTCGGCCTGAGGGCCGCTATGTTGATTGTTTTTGTTTTGTCTTCGGTGGTCGCGTCACAAGACACCATTCTTTCTGCACATTTTTCTTTCGGTGCATTTTCGATGTTCTGAACCCCAGTTCTTTCTGTGTTTTTGGCCTGAGGGCCGGTGTGTTTTTCTTTCGGTGTGTTTTCGGTGCTCGGGACCACCGTTCTTTCCGTGTTTTCGGCCGGCGTGCCGCTATTTTTTTCTTTCGGTGTGTTTTCGGTGCTCGGAACCACCGTTATTTCTGCGTTTTCGGCCTGCGGGCCGCTATATTTGTGTTGCTGTTTTCGGTGCTCGGAACCACCGTTATTTCTGTGCTTTCGGCCTGAAGGCCACTATATTTGTGCTTCGGTGTGTTTTCTGTGCTCGGGACCGCCGTTCTTTTCGTGCTTTCGGCCGGCGTGCCGCTATTTTTTTCTTTCGGTGTGTTTTCGGTGCTCGGAACCACCGTTATTTCTGCGTTTTCGGCCTGCGGGCCGCTATATTTGTGTTGCTGTTTTCGGTGCTCGGAACCACCGTTATTTCTGTGCTTTCGGCCTGAAGGCCACTATATTTGTGCTTCGGTGTGTTTTCGGTGCTCGGAACTACCGTTCTTTCCGTGTTTTCGGCCTGTGGGCCGCTGTCTTCGTCTTTGTGGGTAATTGGTGCTTGTGCAGCGTGTGAACAACGTTATTGCCGTGCTGCTATCAAGAATAGTGGGGGGGGAGTGTTGTGCCATGATCCTTGTAGCAGCACGAGAAGGTTTCGTGCATTGCACATGTTTTAGGAATGATGGCTCCTGGTTACTGGAAAGGGCCCGTGGGCCATGGGTGTAAGCCTCATGGTTTTCTATGGTGCCTCGTGATTCACAACACGAGGGGTTGCTTGAATTCCGCTGAAAACAACGTGGGTATTTTATGGTTTTCATTGAAGAATGTGTTTTGGAATGTTCAGATATTTCTTCGCGTTTTACGTGGCGGAGTGATATTCTACCCAATTATATGTTTGCATTTCCCGGGAAAGTCACAGCAGGGGGGCTGTTGGATATGTTTTCGTTGATATGCTAAAGCCGCAACTACTGGTGAAGATTTTCCCTGATGTTTCCCGACGAATGGGTTCTTTACTCGTTGTTAGTAGAGACTATTTTTAGAATTTATATCTATTCTGGAGGAAGGATTTGACATGTATTGATAAGCAATGGTTGGGGCGTAATGTGCGTTCCGAATGCTCATTGTCCGTTGGTCAATCAGTTGAAACCTGGTTTTGTGCGAAGCTTGTGATCTGTGGCGTAACATTTCTGCAGGAATGCTGATGTCATGAAGATATTTGCAGAGGATAACCGTTGTGTTTTGAAATCTTGAGACGTATTGAGAGTACCGTCTTGAGGGGATATGGATCAAAGAAAACGATTCGACATTTGAAGATTCAATGGATTTCGGATGATGGAGTTATATTGGGAAATCAATGATTGCGGAGGACAACGTTATCTTGGGAGATTTGTTTCGAATTGGGACGATGGATTGTCTAGAATTGAGATTTGAGGTTGTTACGGCCAAGTTCCGCGATAAGAGGAAAATATTAAGTAGATCGTATCTAGTACCGAGTAGGGGGGCTGTTGGGTGTACTCAGCACTAGATACGGATCTACGGAGATCTAAGGGGTTTCGTGTATCTTGTTGGTATGTGTTACTGGAAGGGCGTACCCCCTTCTGATGTGCAGGATTTCTTGCCCTGCTGTTCACTCGTTAATAACAAGGTCTTGAGTCAACGTTCTGCCCACAGCCTCTGACGGTAAGCACCCGCTACCCCAACATACTCAACAGTGTCGTAAAACAAGCAAACGCCGGAAAGTGCTACGTACAATCAGCTTAAGCACTGGTAAACATACAGACAATTTATGTTTGATTCCATCCAACTTATGTTATTCGTCGCCCGCATTTTCGACCTATGCCCTACTTTAACAGGTCCGATCCGGGGGGTCACACAGAAACATTTCTTTGATGGGTGTGATTGAATTAAATACCCAAAAGTGGAAGAGCATACGAGAGTCTCACAGTGCGCCAAACGAATACAGAAAATAACTATATAAAATGGGCAAGAATACCTTGAAGCTTTGGTCGTGTACAGCCATCTCGCTGCTGATCCCCAGCTCAATCTTGAGCGTGTGCATGCTAACGAAGTCCCACGAGTTGAAGAAGGCTTGGTCCTCATCCGTGGGGGCCACGAACCAATCGTAAGTGTCCTGCAAGATTACACAACGGGACCGAGGTGGGTACATTCAAAGCGTCATGTGCAGGCCGACCAATAAGCATCCATCTTGAGAGGCGTTGGTGTGCTTCGAAGGGGTGTAGTTCCAGAGAGAGTAGCGTCCAGATTGCTAAACGAAAACTAAAACAGGGGGGCTGGCTTCGCGGCGGTCTCAGAACTTAGGACGGTCAACCTAAGAGCCACGGACCAAAGCACGCACGAAGCCCGGCTAGCCCGCAATGTGCTCGAGACAGGCGGGCGGGCGGGTTTTCGGTTTTCCCGTTGATCAGGGAGAAGCGAAAGGCCTAGAAGAGGGGGGGGGGTGCGTGGACGATGTCTGCGTAGCATCCCCAAAATAAGGTCTATCGTTCGATGTCGACACTCGTACCCTCTGTACGTCGAGACAGGCGTCTTGCCTATAGGCACAATCCATCTGCCACAGCAACGTTGTTGCAGTTGCAGCTGCAGCGATACACAGGTGCATTGGGGATAAGCTATGGTGGTGAACTTGTCTTTCGAGGACAAGACAGGGTCAGCATGTATCTCACTGGTTGTACAAGCGAGTAAGAACTCACACGATACTTGATGAGGCCATGCTTTCGACTTTTGGGAGCGTACGTCAACACCGACTCTCGCCTCACAGGGCAGGGTAGTAACAATAACGACGACGACGACGACGACAACAACAACAACAACAACAACAACAACATGCCTTGGTAGCACTTTCCATCTCCTGCTGTGCGTAGAAATCCCGCATGAGGTGGTCGAACGTCTGGTATAGAGGTTCTTCTCTCAAGGGGGGTACCTGGCTCGCAGGAACAAGAACGCAGAGAACAGTCACGACAACGAAAAGATTGACACAAAACGAGAACAACGATAACAATGCATTGAAAAAGGCAAAGACAGTCGACCGGAATAAGAATATGAAGACCTTCAACAGACAAAACCACGCACAACACGCAAAAACGTGTGACCGTCTCCAAACCTTTAACAGCCAGGTAGGTGTATGGTGCAAAGGTGCGTACAATTGTATGAATACGTTCACGTTTCCCATATGGTAACTCAGTTCAAAATATAGTTTTTTCGTGGACGTTTCCCATTCTTTACCTTTGGAAGATACGGCGGAAGGACGTGTCTCTGGCTTAACCGTAACCAGTCAATCCCCTCGAAGTACTCGTGACTTTTCAGCTGCCGCCACCGAGAGAAAGAGGGCGAGAACAAAGAGAGAGAGAGACACGCACACAAACACAAAGACGAACAAGGTACAAGCGCCAGACCGACCTGGGTTGAAGGATAGCGAGACTGACGGAACCGTGGGAAGATAGCATGCTCGTTGTTATGTTTTTGGTCTGAGCTCTACACCACAGATCGATACATACCTCTACAATTACGATTGAGGGTTGGGGGGCTATATCATCGTTCTTGCCGAAGTGTTGACCATCTGACTCAAAATCCCTCCAAAGGCTGGAATAGAGCAGCTAGAGTTCCAACCGCCGACCAGGCTGGTGAGAGCTGATGTTTCGGGTTACCATACGTCAAATGAACAGATCATTCGTTGCTACACGCTTAACGTGCAGATTTGACACGGTTGATGTACTTCTATCCTGTTTCAATGTTTTCGGCTAAGGCCGCACCAGACCCTTTGAGTTAAAGCCTCGACAGGCAACCGTCTCGACAGGCAACCGTCTCGGTAGGTACTCACAGCGAGCAAGTTCTCCGGGGTGCCCCCTAATCGCTCCGTCTCTTTGCAGGCCAAAAGCCCGGAGATGACACTCCTCGCCTCCGACCCCACGTACTCCGGCCACGAAATGGTATCAAGAAGCTCCTGAGAGACGAGGCAGCATGCGATCGACAACGTTGGCCATGGCATAAAAAATGGGCGCGCGCGCAACAGCAGCGAAAAACCATCGAACCATAAAGTGAGAAGTCCACGGCGGCTGTTATCCAACAGAAGAGTCCCCCCAACAAAAATAGCATCAGCACGTCTTCACACAGCGAAACCACATTGTTTTCGATGGCGTCGATATTACAACAGCGGCTGCACAGTTGGGTCACTCCTCCGCCCATGGGTGGTACTGAGAAAGATTCTTCTCCGGGAGAACGGATACAAACACGCGCACAAAGCCAAAACACACCGATAAGAGCGGTCGGGACACGTTCGTAAATTTTCGTTCTCGACCAAACCCTTGCCCGTTAAAGGCGACATGGAATAACGTGCACCGAAGCCGCAATACTCGTTCGCATCTACCCGAGTCTAATTGGATGCGTGCGGTGTGTTTTACGGATCGTAAAGATGCGTGTTGTACCGATTTTTCTGGTCCAGCTAAGGCTTATTGAACGACGAAGCATGGTGTCGAACTCGTTCTACTTCGACCAAGCACGCGAGCGACGAAACTGACTGAATCTCATCCGTCCAACCGAAATGGTCGAGTTCACTCCCCAATCAGTTATTTGTGATCTAACCAATCAGGACTAGGAAGCGACGCACGTTGTATTTGTTCTGATCCAAGCCCATGCGACACCGCGTGTCGTCAACAAAAGCCTGAAACCGCCGCCTGTCGAACGGTCGACTCCCCGTCAAGAGCTTGAACACCGTCACGCCCAAGGACCAGTAGTCCACGGCCTGTGTATATCGGGCAAAGGAGAAGCATTTCGAACAACGGCAAGCGTTTAGGGGAAAGGATGGCGACGGCGACAGGGTGCTCGCCGGCTACACCAATGGGTTGCTTGGTAAAGGTCATAGAATGCTGAACGACCACTTTCCCATCGAATCTCGATCGCGCGCTCGTTACGCCTAAAACACAGATGATAGTCAAGCACTCAGGACCAAGAGCTAATGTTGGGCGACACAGAAACCAATACGTCGATCGTGAATGTGCGCTTTTCATGTTATTTTTGGTTTGGGGACAAGGAGAATCAACGTCTTCCCGTTGCATTCGGCGGGAAATCCTCTCGCTGTGTTCATGGCAGGTCTTCTTCGTCTTACTCAAAGAAAATCGTGTTGTAGGAACATTTGGAACCTGCCAGTCATTGACCCATGCTGCGCTGCTTTTCTCACATCAGATGGCGATAAATACGGCGTATGTGCGCGTTTGTTCAATCCTTGGCTGTTTGTTTCATGTGATGTTTCTTGGATTGTTTGTTCCGAAATCCTACACCGGACGGTAGTTTGATCACGAACGCACGCCGTAGTTCCTCCGTGCATGACAGCTATGCGACAATATCTCATCGGCGAGAATTATAGTCCAGCAAGGTTCTCATCTGTCAGATACAGTGCGGCTTGATGTTTCTCACGTTTGAGTAGCCCACCCTGACCGATCGAGGCTGCTTTGGAAGGATTACCATCTCCGGCGCCATGTAGCTACTCGCCGCCCGTTCGCGCAACGAAGAGAAAGCGAAGCAAGAAACAGGGAGCGAGATACAGAGCCATTGGAGACCATAGCTGAACGAGGTACGAGAAAGAAACGCGGCCATGTCGCCGCGTTGTTGTTGTGATTGTGGCGGTGGTGGCGATGCAAAATGTAGGAACATGAACTAAGACTTTCGCTGCGGCTTGCCCTCCCATGCATGCCGTTTGAAGGCAACGACACGAAGCGCGAAAAATCAAACCCTTCATTCCCGACAAAAAGTGTATGCTTCCGCCTGTATTAGTGTCATGCTAGCATGCCTTGGAGACCCGAAGCGGAATTGCGACGTTTGCCGGCTTACCCTTGCGTGCCCATGATACTCCGTCGGCGGTGCTTGTTGTTGAGGGTTGGAGGCCCGTCCTCCGAGGACTTACTTTGCGGCAACGACCCTATCTCCGTCCCCGTGAAGGGATTCTTGTCCTGATTCGTTTCGAAAGATGGAACACTTACATAAATCGATGCTCGACCGGCTGTTCGTTCGACACATATACATTCAAAGCCCTCAAAGGATGAGATAGGACACAAGCTAGAACAATTCAGGGCCCCCATAGGATGAGAGAGGACACAAGTTCGAATATCTGTTGATGAGAGTCTGCGTTGACATAACTGTATCGAATAGAACCGCCGCATACGAAGCATGAACGTCGTCCAACTTCGTCTTGTAGGTACTAATCAATGCCGACCTGCTCATGTATCTGGACCACAGTTTTTCCTCGAAACCTCCGCCACTTCATTTCGTTCTCTCTTCTATAACCTAGGCTGCAAGATGAATAAAGTACATACCACTTTTTTTGTACCAACACAAACATGTCTTATTGCGTTGTATCCCTTTTTAGAGAACTACCTTCTTCTACACCGAAGGTTGGTATGCTTCCTCTGACCAGCTGAACCCACCTTGTTTGTCTCTAAACAGGTGCCGTCTGCAAATTCCGCCACCCCGCCCATATCCGCCAACTTGACATGCCCGTCCCCCATGAGCAGCACGTTGCACGGCTGTGGGAAGGACACGGAGGAAAAAAGGAACTAATTTGGAACTAAGTCGACCACCACGGCTCAGAGTGCGACTTTCTTTGCGGTGTGGCTTTCTGCTAGGGTCGAAATGTCACTGTTTCACGAGGGTACCGGAAAACTAGAGACATCTGTTCAAACAGTCTCCGATAACTCAACCTACTCGGGGCAAACTCGAAGGAATGTACAGTCCAAACACACCAGCAGAATGCGTTGCGAGCAACAACAGCGCATCTTTGGTACCTTGAGATCCCGGTACATGAGCCCGAGGTCGTGCAAGTGCACCAGCGCCAGAATGATTTCCGCCGAGTAGAACTGAACCCGTTTCGCTTCGATCCTTCCCTCCGGGGCCGTATCGATCGCCTCCTGTGTGGATGCACAGCAGCACCAGTCGTGTATGGTGAAACGGCAGAAGCGCGGTCTGTTACAGTCGTGGCTCCGTTATAAGAGGGTGCCTTATAAGAAGGGCCTCCGATACAAGAGGGTCGAAATCGGTTGTCACCGACTCCACCCGCTATTCTATAGTTGGATGCTCTCGTTTTCCGGCACACGAGGGGGCTCCGATGTAGGAGGGTCGAGGACCTTTGTCACACCACCCTCGAATATCGGAGCCACGACTGAACAGATGTAAGGGTTGGTCGGCGATCGACGTCCGACCTGAATCGTTCTCTTATTCTTCGTTCTGAATCGGCGAAAGACATTCATGGAATACGCATTACTGACAATTGTACCAGCGCGCCGGGTATTGCGCCCTTGATGTCATGTAGAAACGTTGCATCTCTATCCCTTCAAGGGAAACGTTTAGTCAAAAGTGCCATTCTTGTCCTACTTGAGGTACAACAACGAAGCACTGAGCGACATCCGAATCTCAGACAATCAATGTGGCTACACGTCATCCCGTGATTCCTTTGCGGGACCTCATCGAATCCCCTCCGGTTCATGTTATTTGGTGATGTCCTGACCAAAAAAGGGTCAAAGAGAGCGAAAAGGAATTCGACAGCGAACAATAGTTTCGTTGACGCGGCATGACGCTTGTTGATTCACCACACGCTTCTCATCCGGAAAGAGCGCAGGTAGGGTTTCCCCACCGGTGGCAAGCTGGAGACGTAACAAGAGATCAAGTCGCCGTTTCATCTCATTCGATGCCTTGCTCTGTATTACCTGAAGATCCCCCCCGGTGACAAGCTCGAGACACATAATCCCTAACTCCGGTGTTTGAAAAGCGTAGTCCATGCCCACGATAAACGGGTGATGTGTCACCGACAGTACGCGCCTTTGGAACACCGTCCCGACGGCGAGGGGATCGGAGCCCGTGTGAGGAGGGGGCGAGGGGTGGGGGGCTCACGTCATTGGGCTGCTCAAGATAGTTTTTGGTGCCTTACTTGCAAGTCAACGACAGCCGCACACAATATTGAAGGTAAATAAGATGCAATGGTGACGTCGATATCCATTGGAAGGTGGATTGTCGTTATCCGCACCACATTGCAAGGTGGATTGTCGTTATACGTACCACATCGTAAGGTGAATTCCTTTCTAGTTTCCGCCTCATGATAACGATAGACAACAGCTTGGTCGCATTTATGTGGAGATATAAGGAAAACAAAGAAGCCTAGATGTATTCTTGTGCCCCGAGCACATTGTTATAACACTTGTACTGCCTCTGAGGCTCTTATGCCACCCGAATATTGCATTTGCACCGCATGGGGTCTCCTATAGGCCTGAGTAATAGTCTTGACTATCTCACCCCCTGGAAGCAGAAGGGTATTGTCAGTAAAAAAAGTGTACAAACAACGCAAACGACGTGCACCTCTCATGGTCAATTCGGGTAGGGTCATCGTTGAACGTGTCGAGCAGCGCTGTCTTGAGCTGGATCTTCATCGCGTAGTGCGACTGGGTGGTCTTCTTCTTGACATGCACCACCCGACCGAACCCTCCCTCGCCGATCCTCTCGATGTACAGGAAGTCGTCTGGACATACCTGCGTGATCACGGCAATATGCAGAGAGCACAACGTTTATTTTTCCGCAACCGCTAAAAGACAACGCCGACAAACAACAGTACTTCAAAGCGTGTATTCGTATCGGTCAGATTCCGTAATATAATGCCCGTCAAAGTCCCTTCGCCGAAAAACGCTCGAAAAGGAAATGCCCACAATCTAACTTCGTTCTCTTCATCTAATTCAATCCCACCCATTCAAGCCAGAGCCGTCGAGACCAACAAATCCAATCATCAAACCCCACCTGAAGTAACCCAAAACTCATTGGAACCGACTCAACCAACCACACCAATTTCTCCCTACCCGAACAGCGAACCAACGACCCGGCCAATCACTCGCCTTGTTGTAGGCGTTCTTGATGTCGGCGTGCATTTGGGCGTACTCGGGAGAGGCGGAGAACCTCTGGAAGGTGTTGTAGAACATCTCCTTGAACACCGCCTTCCGGAAGAAGTCGAACATGTCCGTCGAGATGCCGCTCTTGTTCCCGGCTTTGTCCACCACCCCGGCGTCGATTATGTGCTTGATCTTTGCTCGCTCTTCCGCAGGGATGCTCCCCACCTGCGAGCGTACGAGTTTGGGTCGCGTGTGGTGTTGAGTGTTTATCGACGTCCACAGCTGCAGGAACGTCGTAAAAAGCAGTTGCCCATAATATGGGCTGGACTTGGAGTGCCACGATAGCTGAGCACGTGGAACCGCAAGGAAAGGGGGAATGCGGCTTTCCGATTGTGCTCCCTTGGCGACAGTGGCTCTCCAGAAACTCCTCGGGTCCGGTCAAACACGCAAGAAAATGAACGGGGTGACCTGTTGCTCATGGATCGCTGTAGCATACCAGGCGGGCTCCGGTGGTTGGTTGACGGTCCAAGTTTCTCCTCTAGTGTTATGATGAGTGCCGAGTTGAGTTCGTAGAAAAGAAAGTCTCATTTTGATTGTACCTTCGTGTTTGGAGCTCTTCGCTGCCGTATGCACTTCTGAGCATAGGTGCGTAGGAAACTACTTACAGAGGGAAGTGCAGTGGGCGAGCCAAAAGTCACTGTCAAGGTAGGAACACAGCCTCTAAACAGACACGTAAGCACCGGTGCTTAAACAATTGGTATTGCGCGGGACGCAAAATACAACAAACGCACGCAGTTTCGTTGTTCAATTGTTTCTTTGTGTGTCCTGTAGATGTGCGGGAAACAATACGGTGTTCATCTTCGTCCCCTGGAGTTTAGTATCTATTTTTTTCGATCTGCGCCTCCAGCTACAAAATGCTGATGAATTGCTCGTGAGTTCTATGGTCCACTCTTTTTGCTAGAAGATGCTTAGACTATAAGGCGGACCAAACTGCTGAAAATCTTGCCTGCAAGACGGCGCCCTCTCGGATGTACTTCTGGTAGATGTGCATCGACTTTCCCCTCCGATAGTCCCCTGTCGGGATGCTACGGAACTCCTGGATGTCAACCCACGCATAGAATGACTCCTGCGGGTGTGCGCACACGTAGATAGCATCGGGGGGGGGTGACTGTCCGACGCACATAGAAGTTAATTGGAACGCACCCATCGGGTGTGAGTGACTGAATCAACCGAATGATCGCGGTTGGGTGAGTGAGTAGTGCATTCGGCAATCTATTCCACACGTCACAGGGGTTGCGGGCACGGGATGAGACCAGGGGGGGGGACAACATACGGAAACGTACGAGGAGAGTGCTCTATTCATGCAAAGCAAAACGTGCGCGGTGATAAGACCTTCGTCATTCCATTCCTTCAGCACGGTTTAAGTGCCGACAATGGAGAGACGTGGTCTTGGCCCTCCCTGCACACAGGATTTCCCCCTACCCGTGCCCGCCTGTAGCGGGGCCGCTCTAGTTAATTTTGGACGGCATGCAAGCAACAATTTCGGCTTCACTTCTGATGTGATTATGTTCTTGTAGGGATTTACGAAGATTCGTACATGTGAGGTGCCCGAAGGGGTGCGACTGGCGTTGGTCAGTTGGTGTTATGATATTTCACCTGTGTCATGACTTTCTTGGCGAACTGGCCGATGTACTTCTGCCCGATCGGGTCTTCCAGTATGGCTCGCATTTCCAGTTTTCGCGGATCTCCACCCGTGAGGCTCTTGTCGTCGCTTAATTCTTTCTTCATCCCGTCTATTCCTGGAACGATCTACACCATAGAGTAGCGAGATGGAAAGGCGTGAGAATAATCACTGCCCGTAGGCGTCACGAGGGAAGGTCCCCCACAACGAGGATCACAAGGGCAAGTTGACTGTACGACGCCAACAGCCAGTGACGACAACAACAAACAAGAACAAAAAGAAAACAGTTCACGTAGTGATAATGAGCCCCCCTATTCAACGCAGTGCCTGCGGTAGCATTCCCCTCTCTAATTTCGGTGTCTATTAGGAAAGCCTCGGTCATTCATCGTCCTTTCCGCCTCAATTAAACCCGCATTTTTGCCTCTCGACTTTTCAATGGGCATCGGCCGATCACAAAAGGGGATTTCCAACTTTCGTTTGAATACCCCCGGGATAACGGGTAAGGAAAGTCGCCACAGTCTAGTCTAGCCCGGTGGCGACATCCTAAGGGACATTGGAGGCCCATGGCGGCCCATCGACCTCTATGGCGCTCCGTAGAACATGGGCACTCGTGGGACTTCAAGATGGAATCTACGGCTTGACGATGGAGTGCCATGGAAAACTATGGGTTGCCCCGGGATGCAGTGAGATTGCATGGAAAATCAGGCGAGACGCAGCCACGTGTGTTTAGGAGAACGCGCATACTTTTTCTCTGGCTTGAGAGGCCCGCCCCGTCGGACAACTTCGATCGCCGTTGACAGTGGCAGCAGGTCCACTGCAACGAAAGGATTCGTCCATATTCGTCTGCTGTGCATTATAAGCGCAGCATGGCACGTCAAACACCGACCGAATGGCACGCAAAGTGGGGGGCTTTGACATTACTGGGGTTTTGATCATGTCTCAGTCATGACTCGATCATGACCCGATCATGACTCGGTCGAGACGGTCATTACCGGCCCATGACCTCTATCATGACCTCTATCATGACTTCGATTATGACAGGGTCATGACTCGGTCATGGCTCGGTCATGACTCGGTCATAGCGACGGAGCTAAGACTTTGTTGCGGGTGCAAATAAGCCATGCACCCACACCTTTGACAGGCCGAACACACCCCATGCAAGAAAAAAAGGGTAAACTGCCATGGTCTCGGTTTTGAACCCCTGCCCTGGTCTCCAAAAGCATCGTGTGCTGTTCCTTCAACCGGCAACACATCGATTTACGATCGATGCAATCCTGATGGTCCTAAACAATAGGTTATCTCATTTGGGAGGGGCATGAAATTGGCCAAAAAACCTAACGCTAACCCTAACCCTATTCCCACACCTGCGATAGGTTTTAGGTTGGCGCTGGGTGGATACGGACTAGATTTCTGTGCCGGCATTGGCGCTAGTTTGTTGTTGATGGGAAAACTTCTAGCTGCAACATGACTGGGTAATGATCCAGCAGCCTGGCCGCATATTCCTGCGAAAGTGAGAAACAGCAAACTAACTCATGACCCGGTCACGACTCGGTCATGATCCGATCATGATCGGGTCACAGAACCGGGGCATGGCCGAAACCATGATGATATGATCAATGAGTCGTGATCACGACCACTAGCTAACCCAACAATCCCCGTTGCACTTTTCCAGGAAGTCTCGGCCAGGCTGTCGGATCATGACCGGGTCCTAGTCCAGCCATGATGCGGTCATACGGCGTCATGACCGGTCGCGATGAGTGGACCATGACCGAGACATGGCCATGTCATCACCCTTCGTGGCCCAAACATCGACCTGATCGTCTGTCATGACCCGGTGATGACACGATCAGAAGCCGACAAAGAAATAAGGTAGACTATCGACGAGTGACAGACCCGCAAAGAGGGCCCCGGTTTGTCATTCCTACGATATCATGCCCACCCATCCATTTTATCATCCACGTAATCTCCCGGAGGCTCCGTAGATCAGTACTCCGTCGAGCACCCCCAAACATCCCCCCTAATCGACACGAGATACGATCTACGAAACCCTCCTCATTTATACTGCCAAGTAAGGGGGGTAAAACAGCAATCAACGTAAACTATCCCTTCAACACCAACCTAGCGCCAACGCTGGCACACCTACCTACTAGTAGACCACCACCCAGCGCCAACCTTGTACCTTTGGTGTGGGTAGGGATAGGGATAGCGCTAGCGCTTTAACCGGTTTCATGCCCCTGCCAAAGCAGAGAATCTATTGTTTAGGAGTTCAGAACTGCATATAGATTGCTGATCAACTGGTTGCCGGTTGAAGGGGTAGAACACAAAATGCTGTGGCAGACCAGAACAGGCCTTCGAGACTGGCAACATTTCGGCCTGTCGAGGGTGTGGGTGCATGACCTAACCATAACCAGTTCACGGCCAAGTCATGACTGGGTCATGACTCAGTCATGAACTGGCCATGACCTAACCATAACCATGTCATGGTCGAGAAATGATCAGTTCACGACCCGGTCACGAGTGACTCGGTCAAGTCCAGGTAATTCTCTGAGCATGACTCGGTCATGGCCTAGTCATCACCTCGACCACGATCGACGTACCGTAATGGCTCCATATCGTGATCAAGTCATGAGCGGTCATGGTTCATGACTCCATGCTGATCGGGTCACAACCCAGTCTTGCCCGGGTCGTGACTAACTTGTGAGTCATGACCGAGTCATGATTCAGTCATGATCGGGTCATGATCGGGTCATGATCGGGTCATGACTGGGTCAGTCTTGACCCGATGACGATGAGAAAACCCAACAAAATGTCAAAGCCCCACAGTTCCATAGGATGTCCATGAAAATCGGCCGTGGGTTCATGGGCCATTCCATGATATCCCGCGGGCGTGGGCCTCCATACCCACCTCCTGGCTTATGATGTGAATGGCTAGACTTTTGTAAAGGCAACTTGCTTTGCACGACCAGAAGGATAATGTTTCTCGTGAATGACAGTGCCAACATTTGATGGGAAAGAAAGTATGTTAGAATACGAAAGTAAAAACTTCTATGCAGTCGTATATGTGAATATAAAAAGATCAAGACACAAAGACCTACTACAGTAATCGAAAATCGGGGTCCGTGAGGGGCGGGGGGGGGGAGTGATTTGGGGTAGTGGGACTCAAATTTCTCATAGTTTCGTAAGGGGCACCGTGGAACCCCTCCTCCGCAATAGGGGGGTTGTTGGAGTATTTGTGTACAAGAACGACTGGTTCTACTGCATGGGTTCTGTGCAGTATTGTGAAGGCATGTTTCCAAGTCTGTCTGTAACCGTCACGTGAAGACAGCTTGGGCGTCTGAGTGTGGATATTGTTTGTGGTACTTGGATATGAGTCCGATCTGTGCATCCTCTGTGGGGGATACGCGTATGGGAAGTATGGGTGTGAGGGTATGTATGCGGTTGTGGTCCAAGTGCGGGGCCCCCGGGAGCACACAGCGGTGTGCTCCCGGCACTTGCCTGAGGGGCTTGCGTGTCGAATACCAGCTTGCCTGAGGGGCTTGCGTGACGAATATATACAATACATGGTCCTTTTTTATCAGCTGTTCCTGGGATAACATAGTCCCCAGTTTCAACACCACAGACCGCTGAGGGCGGCAGTGCACTAACAGATATTAAAAATCACTCTGTGTTTACCCTACCTACACCTCGCATGAACAACGCCAGCAGCTCGAGAGGACAGCGTCCCTCGCTGCACAGCGTAAGCCACTTCGCCCAACAGGGGTCAATGACTTACTTTCGTGAACGAAGCCCCCTATACTAATTCCTAAATAAACAGATATCCAAATTGCCCTCCCGGGGCGGGGGGCGGGGGGCGATGTGTCCGGATTGTTTTTCACGTACACAGACCGTCGTGCTACACATTATCGTTAAATAGTTGTCTAGCCTAACGTAAGGCAGGGTTCTGTGCGATCTTCATCAGAGCTCCCCACAAATCGATAGACCCGAAAACGGGTAGTAGGTTCAACAGCGTTGAAGTTCCCGCCTCAAGAGATGATCGACCGGTCAGTACAGTTTTTTACGGTCTGTTGTGTAACTTCCAATGTACGGGGTCTTACGCCCTTTGAGTGGTCGAGTGTTGGTTCGAGCGGTCGATTAAAATATTCTCCAGTGTCCCCTCTCTGTTCTGCATTCCGAGATTTTTAAAAAAGCGACACAACCCCGTTCTCGCCCCGTTCCAGGCCACCATGCCGTCCGCGTTGGCCGTGGTGAGAGGGTTCAGATGGGTTGGGCCGGCCACGACCGTACAGAGCTCCGACTGCGTAACGTTGTGGGTGTCCGCTCCAGTATGCCACCAGTCTAAAATACAAATGCAACAACATCGAGTATGGCCTGAAGCGCAGTTACTTCAATGTACACAGACAGCAGGATACATGCATGTAGGTTTCCGCAAGACAACAAGCCGCATGATGATTCGTGTACGACTAGTCTGCTACTGTATGATACAGTAGTACCTTCCAGGCCGTCCCCTGCGCTTTTAGCTTCTGAGGACTTCGTGGTGACGACGTCGTCGCGGCAAAAACGCTGGCCCCGCATCCCATCGGTTCGCCTCCCGTCCCACCGTGGCTAACCGAGTAGTTGTCAAATGTGTACGCACCACCCCCAGATATCTTGACGCCGCTGCTGCCACAGTCTCCCGAACGGCGTCGTAATACTGCGGTGTGTAGGTGCAGGTACGAGTGTCTTACCCTTTCACACGCCGTGCCAAAGCTCCTCCTGTGTACACGTGTCAAGTAGGACACCGTTTCCTCTTCCCCATTTCGACCACTTCACCGCAGAGACGAGGCGTACCCTAAGGTGCTTGCGCTGTATCTACTGTGGGCTTGCAAACCGCTGTCGCCAACAACACCAGGCGTGCATGCGTGCATTGCTATTGCGCCGCGCGTGGTCGGAGAACGTGAAAAAAAAAACTCAAACGATTTTGGCAGTTTCTCCTTGGGCGGCTTGAATTTGATTAGTCGAAACCATCGAGAACTCGAGAACTCGGAACCAGCTGCTCGGAACTACTCGGACTACAACTCGGAACTCGGAATTCGGAATTCGAACAAGTGAGGTTCCTTTTGACTCCTCT